ATACTACACAACAAAACGTCTAATAAGTTATTTATTATCCAACACGCCAAACTGTTATTTCAGTGCGGGCGAATTTCGCGGATATTTATTTACTGGGAGTGCGTGACAGAAGTATGCGAGGCGGAACGGAATTGGCGCGTTGTCGTGTTGCTGTTTCTATTTTCTTCAATAAATGAAGAAGTTTCCAGGTCGTCTAGCTGTTTTTTTTTTCCCGTTGGATTCATCTAATAAACCTGGATGTATATTTGCCAGCCATTCTGACTCTTCGTCATCGGAAATATGATTCAAATTGTCCGCCATTTTTGTTTTTCGTAACTACAATTCAACCTCTTGGCTTGCGCAATGCGAAAAAACCTGTTTAACCTGTACTCTAGAGTACAAATACCGCGTGATATTTGTACTCGTCTATGGCGTTATTGGTGCTCTACGTAGTGTAGTTGGATAATAATATAGGGGAGAGGTCACAAAGCACAAGTTATTATTTTAATCAGCCAGGGGATAAGCTCTTTGCCTCGTAAATAGGACTGAGTTTTAGAAGAAATCACAAAAGAACCACATCAACAGGAAACCAAATCAAGAACCCTACAAAATGCATTCTCCAACAGTAACCAGAAAGATGGATGACACTGAAACTTACGAGAATAGCCACGATTCTAGACAAATGACATTTATACGAGCTTATTTTCCTGATGATTTTTTAACATATTACACAATGTTACGGGAAAATTTAGTGATCTTTCCCAGTGGATGTTTAAGCATATTTATTCGTTGTTTTCAGAATTTTAGCGTTTTCAATTCATGCGAGTTCTTTCATTGCGATGTTTTAAAAAGATAAAAAGCCACAAGTAAATTTTGAAGAGCCAAGTTAAATTGTACAGCTGCATCTCGGAGCTTTTATTGCTCGTTCTTTGTGAAGTTTTTAGGTAAATATGTGTTAATGGTCTTTCTGGAAAAAAAATTGGTTCTCATGGTAGTTAGCGGCTGAGTTAAACTGGTAATTTTAATTTTCTTTCATACGATAACATGCTCGAGCTACAAGATATAGCAACACTAATTTTATTTGCCCAAGATTTAATCGTATAACCGAAGGCGATAGATCATTCGCAGTCACTACCTGTAAACTTTGGAATAGTTTAAGTCTAGAACTCAGGAATTCTGTGTCATTAGAGTCTTTTAAGAACAATTATAGAAACAACCTTCTTAAGGCACAAGAGAAACTACATCATTTTATAATCTAACACATGATTCATCATTTGCTCTCAAGTTAACGTTACATTTTATTTTACTCGTAATTCGTCTTCTTATTAGATAAATATTCCTAGTTTTTATTGATAGCTATGTTAGAATCCAACATACATTGCTTGTTAGAAGTTTTTAAATAGAGGGCCACGAGTTTATTAGTTACTTCAACTATTGCGTGCCACCCTCTCTAAATAAACTGTATTATTATTATTATTATTATTATTATTATTATTACGATAGTTTCCACATCAACCTTGCATAGATAAGTAGGGACTTTTAATTACTTTTCCACTCTTACTTTCTAAGCTGCGCTACCGCAATTAAGATAAGTATATTTACCATACCAGAGCTGTGAATTCTCACCTAAGTTTCCTATTTTTAACGGCCTCGAGTTTATTGCATCCGCCCTTTTAATTTGAAATTCTTTTTGTCGCAGAAACAGTTCGGAATGTTTAAGTAGTTTTCATTTAACTTCGAAGAGATCGTTACCGCTTCTTTTGTTTTGATGTTTAAATATGGTTGATTTGTATAACAATAGCACTTCACACCAGTTAGCTTATAAGCAGCCACCTTATACAGTTTCGTTGATTACATCCTTGATTACAAGCTTGTGTGCGCTAGAGGTCAGGTCACTTGTTGGCCTAACTTAGGATAAAGTTCACTGTGGAACCAAAGTTTGTCTCATCCTTGACGTTCGTACAGGCTCGCTAGAAGTAGTTCTCCGTGTACCAGGAAATCATGACGAGTTTCCGTTCTCGCCGCCGAGTTGTCTCTACCGAGTTAATTTTCCCCAGTTATTGTTGTTCCGTTCGCGAAGGTTCAGTTTCCCAGTTTGGGTGCGAAAACATATCGTCGCAACTAGCTAGTGTCTTTTTGGTTTTTGTTCTTTTAGGTAGCAAATGTTGCAGTTCACTCGCGGCTCACACTTGCATGTCGGGGGTTGACTGGTCTTGGTAGAGAGAGGCTACCCATGGCCACTTCAACAAAGAGCCACTGACAGCTTATGATTCAGGAAAGCTTTACTAGACTGGAAGCCATCTTGTCTTACAGCTGAGACTACTACTCAAAGGCTACAGGTAAATCCATTAACTGGTTTTTGTTCAGTTACTTAGTCTTAGGCATTTCCAATCATTGTGAAATTTCAACCGATAAAGCATTTAAACCCTGTTTGTTTGGCAGTCGTTGATCTGCACGTGAAGAATTTGATGACACATTCGCTGATTTTTTATGGAAAAACGTGCTTTAGTATCCTTAATTAAAAAGTATGTGTTACAACTAGTCTTGTCCTAAGTTTACTTCCCACCTTCGCGGGTGTCCTTCAGGAAAAAATTCATACGCGCGCCAGTTTAAAGAATATCCGGAAATCCTAACAAGTATGCATCAGAACAAAGCTTTATAAATGTAATTTATGATAAAGATTTAATTTAAGTGATTTTTTTTAGGAAGTTTTAGGAGCCCGTAAGGCGCGAAACGACCGAAGGTCCTGTTGAATTTATCGGGTATCAGATCCCGCAGGACGAGTAAAATGGCTGCACAGTCTTATATTCAAGGCAACAAAATTGTGTCGGGCTTTTCCGATATACTGTTTGGTTCTTCAGATATCCGCATCTAAAGTTAGAGTAGTTTGAAATATGCGAGACGTGTTGCGTAAATGGACGAAATACTTTGGCGAAATTTCACGAAAATTGGTAAAATCTACATCCCTCTTTAAATTCGCCTAAAGTGTATCTATTCCTCTCAAAATGCGAGCTTTTACCTTCTAAAGGTTTGCAAACAACCAGCGCCACACCGGGAGATTATCTCGCCTCTTGCAATCGCAAACCAATGAGACAACGGGACCTCCTGGCGTCAATGACAATGGATCAAGATTTCTCGTGAAAAGTAACGCATTGCTGACACGTTTACATCTCGATCGCTCAGTAAAGCGTTGTGGAGGA